TCTACTTCCTTTAAAATAGTAAGATTCATACAAGACCCCTTCTAGGTCATAGGGTACTGACCCATAAGAACCACCTCTAAGCAGTCATGCCATAGGATGATCTCAAGTATAGTACAGTAAAACCCAGCTTACAAGAAACGTGAGTATGTATGTGTGGTTTGTGTACTCACCTAGTTGTATTCACCTAGTTGTGCTTGCGGGGGGTTGAACTCTGCTCTTTCGGCCTGCCTCTCAACTGTCAACTGTTACTAACCACTAATTACCCCCCATCCCCACACACAGATTTCAAGAGGATGCTATGGGGAACTTAGACATTTTTTTCTTGGGTATAAGTGGACAGATTTGTTGCTAGGCAAGGAAGTAAATGAGATGTATGCCAAATTTTTCAAAATATACGATGAAGGCACACAAACATTCATACCAAAACAGAGATGTAGACCTAGGAAAGAGGGTTGATTCAACATAAATTGCGAGAGGGCCAGAGATCAAAAGACACAAGCATTGAATCATTACAGGAAGAGGCCAAACCTCCAAACATATCAGTGATACAAAGATGCAAGAAACAACTACACGTCAGTAAGGAAAGAGGCAGAGAGGAACTTTGAGAACGGTATAGCAGACAAATGTAAATCAGATCCAGGCCTTTTCTATAAATTCATTGAAAGCAAGCTGCAGGTAAAGGACAATATTCAGAGGTTGAAAATGGGGGGACAGATACACGGAAAATGAAAAGGAAATGTGTGAAACATTAAACAAAAAGTTCCAAAGTGTGTTTGTACAAAATAAGTTCTTCAGAGAACTAGAGACAATAAGAATTCCAGAGAACAGCATAGAGTACATAGAGATGTCTAGAGATGAAGTGAAACAAATGCTCTTGGAGCTAAGTAAAAACAAAGCAGTTGGGCCAGATGGAGTTTCACCATGGGTTCTGAGAGAATATGCACCTGAGCTCAGCGCTCCACTTCAGCTGATTTTTCAGACATCCCTGTGTACAGGAGTCGTAACAGATATGTGGAAAAAGCCTAACATAGTTCCAACCTCTACAAAAGTGGCAGCAGGGAAGACCCGCCTCAATTATCCCTTAAACTGTGCATGGCATATATATACGCCATGAGTAACATTGTAACACTGTAAACATTTTAATTGAATTGCTTAAGTTATGATACTTATCATGAAAAATATAATTGTTGAATTTATTATTTAAATGGTCTTTCACTGTTCCTTAGAGTTTTTGAGTTGAGGTGAGAAAGCCTCTGTGATTACTGGTTTCATGATTTAATGAGTACATGTTTGGAGTTGATACATGGTAATAACATCTTTTGAGAATATTTTGATACAGGCAAGTTCCATTCCTTGTCTTGTATGTAATGATCATGAATGGATGGTGGCAGCATTTCGTCTTCTACTATCTACTCTTCTACTTCTACTATCTACTCTTCTACTTCTACCTATCTACACCTCTCCCTTCACCCTTCTCTAAACTCTCACTTTCAACTAATGACCCTCCTCGCTCCTCCCACCTCTCTCCCTCTCACCCCAAACCCTCACTAATTACTTCACTATTCATTTCTTTCCTTTCGCTTTCTCTTATACGTTTGTGGCAATGATTCTGTATTCAAGAGTTCTCTCTAGAGTTTCGGGTAACTGATCCAGTTACGACGCCTTGTAGTCTTAGCACCTAGGTAGTCAAATACCTAGGTTACAAGGTGTTGAACGAGAGAGGCTGCCTTAGGAACTCTGGAGGGTGCTCTAGAATAGTTAGCTAACTGGGGACGGGATAACGGACTAGAGAGAGCTGTTTCCCCCGGCCTCGTTAGTTAACTGGGGGGTGGAATAATGGACAAGATAGAGTTATTTCCCCCACCCCCGTTACAACATGTCCCACAGTGTGCATGGCATATATATAAGCCATAGAAGCCATAGGGTGCCAGACACGATTCACATGGCCCGCGGCTACACGGGGTTCACATTAGATTCCTTAGAGCTCTTGTAAACAGACGCCATTTAAAAAAAAAATTGTGGGCAATATTCTCCGGTGTGAGAGCCACAGTATTATTGGCGCAACCAAGCTTGGCACACTATGGTGAACACAAATGTAGATACTTATATATAACGTGTTTATAGTGTGAGATAACAGCAATAGGAGTAGGTTGGGAGCCGCTATTTTGGTGAGGGAGGTGCGTCGTCTGCACGACTTTTGTTTACTAGTGGCCACTATGGTCTTTGGGCACCATACCAGCTTATTTGTACAGGTATGGTGAATAAAACAGGTAGATACTTATATATAATGTGTGTGTATATAGCGTAATAACACCACAAACAATATTGTTGGAGGAGAAATATTAGTGCGTCTGGCCTTGAGGGCGGCTGGCACCAGCCGACTGTGTGAGTAGCTACGTCTTCGTGTCTTTATTCACCATACAAGTTTAGATGTACAGTTATGGTGAACAAAACATGTATACTTATATATAACGTCTGTGCATAGTGAATAAATGCAAAAACAGTATTGTGGGGGGAGAATGAGGGTGAGTGAGGTGTTGAGGGAGGGAGTGGCAGCAAATGGCTGGCTGGTGTGTGGCGGTCACTCCTCGTTGCTTTTTGACTCACAAGACCAACTTAGTGGTTCGTTATGGTGAACAAAACATGCAAATACTTATATATAACCTGTTTATATAGTGTAACAACAGCAAAACTATTTGTTTATTGTTTTATGAACATAATTGAATCACTAATATGCACACCATAATTTTGAGTACAGCGATGGTTCACACATTTTATTATATAAATGTATCAATTCACTGTATTGAATAATATTACTGCAAAACAAAAATAAAAAAAAATCAGAGACATTGAAATAATTAGGTAATAATATATTTGTGGCAACTGCCACCTGACAGCTCGAGCGGAGTAGACCTCGTCAGGCGAAAGCTCTGTCAATGCCCCTTTTCTGTCACTTCCCTACCCTATTGTGGCTAAAATATGCCACCAAAGATTTTTTTTGTTAATTTTCCGTGATCAGGGAACAAAAATGAACACTTCTATATGATGAAATAATTTTTTGGATTTTTTTTTTTTGTTGCGCCTGTGGGTGTTAAATCCATTTGGGCCCCTAGCGGTTTGAAGGTTAAGGGTTATAAACCTGTATCATTGACAAGTTTAATAGTCAAAATATTGGAAAAAATAATTAAAACTAAATGGGTAGTACAGTATAGTAAATATCAGACAGAGTATGGTTTTCGATCTAGAAGATTCTGTGTATCGAATTTACCAGTCTCCGTGGTGTAGTGGTAAGACACTCGCCTGGCGTTCCGCGAGCGCTTTGTCATGGGTTCGTATCCTGGCCGAGGAGGATTTACTGGGCGCAAATCCTTAACTGTAGCCTCTGTTTAACTGAACAGTAAAATGGGTACTTGGTTGTAAAAACAATTCTTCGCGGCGGGGATCGTATTCCAGGGACCTACCCAAAACACTACGCGTACTAGTGGCTGTACAAGAATGTAACAATTCTTGTATACATCTATAAAAAAAAAAAATAAAAAATTTACTCAGTTTCTATGATCGAGCCACAGAGATTTTACAGGAAAGACTGCATCTATCTGGACCTAAAAAAAAAGCTTCCGACAGAGTTCCACATAAGAGGTTGTTCTGGAAACGAACATATTGGAGGGGTGACAGGTAAGCTGGATGACATGGATGAAAAACTTCCCGACTGACAGAAAAATGAGGGCCGTAATCAGAGGCAATGTATCAGTTTGGAGGAATGTCACGAGTGGAGTACCACAGGGTTCAGTTCTTGCACCAGTGATGTTTATTGTCTACATAAACAATCTACCAGTTTGTATACAGAATTATATGAACATGTTTGCTGATGATGCTAAGATAATAGGGAAGATAAGAAACCTAGATGATTGTCATGCCCTTCAAGAAGACCTGGACAAAATAAGCAAAGTATATGGAGCACCACTTGCCAAATGGAATTTAATGTGAATAAATTTCATGTTACGGAATATGGAATAGGAGAACATAGACCCCACACAACCTATAAATTATGTGAGAAATCTTTAAAGAATTCTGACAAAGAAAGGGATCTAGGGCAGGTTCTAGATAGAAAACTGTCACCCGAGGACCACATTAAGAACGTTGTTCGAGGAGCCTATGCTACACATTTTAACTTCAGAATTGCTTTTAAATACATGGATGGAGAAATACTAAAGAAATTGTTCACGACTTTTGTTAGACCAAAGCTAGAATATGCAGTGGTTGTATGATGCCCATATCTTAAGAAACACATCAACAAACTGGAAAAGGTGCAACGACATGCTACTAAGTGGCTCCCAGAACTGAAGGACAAGAGCTACGAGGAGAGGTTAGAGGCATTAAATTTACAAAAACTAGAAGATAGAAGAAAAAGAGGCGATATGATCACTACATACAAAATAGTAACAGGAATCGATAAAATTGATAGGGAAGAATTCCCGAGGCCCGGAACTTCAAGAACAAGAGGTCATAGATTTAAACTCACGAAACAAAGCTGCCAGAGAAATCTAAGAAAATTCCTTTTGTAAACAGAGTGGTAGACAGTTGGAACAAGTTAGCTGAGGTGGTGGTGGAGGCCAAAACCGTCAGTAATTTCAAAATGTTATATGACAAATAGTGCTGGGGAGACGGGACACCACGAGCGTAGCTCACATCCTGTAACTACAATTAGGTAATTACAGTTGGGTAGTTACATACACATACACATACACACACACACACATAGGAAGCTGCCCGTAACAGCTTTCTAACTCCCTGTACCCATTTACTGCTAGGTAACAGGGGGCATCAGGGTGAAAGAAACTCTGCCCATAGATTCCCCCCAGTGCCGGAAATCGAACCTCAGTCCACAGGACTACATATCCAGCGTGCTGTCCACTCAGCCATGGTACCCCCTAATTGTGTGTCTATATCGGTGAGTTCTCACACATTATATGAGAGGTTGAGCTCGCTCACTCACTCACTTGTAGCTGATTTGTTTTTTGTAATTGGTTGGCATATTCATTCTTGCTGTCTTCACACTGTTGACTTTTGATGCTGGCATTCATTCGCTGTTTTTCTACTTCAGCGCGAGACAGGTGTAAGTCGGCATCTGCCTTTAGGTAGTTATCTTGTGCCTGTGGAAGATAAATTCAAAGTGAGATATGGCAATTTATAAAGTTATAAATAAAAATATAGTAGACTCCTGATTAGATAAAGGAATGCATTCCTGGACACAGTGTGAAGCCTGTGGCACTTGCTATTATATTTTAACCTACAGTAATCAAGGAAAATACCCCTATAAGCATGCTCTAGTTAAACGGTCTGGAAGTTTAATAACCCAACCCACACACATAAAAAAGTGACATTTTAGTCCACCTAGACCCTTATCAAGTCTTACAGTGACTCGCTCTTCATCCCATCCTTCACACGATTGATGATGAGGCAGAATGGACCAAAACATCATCACTCTTTATTTCATATGTGGGGGGTTGGGTTATTAATTTTCAGGCATGTTATTGTGACTTTCTCTGTAGTTTGGATGAAATGTTAAGAATTTTCTGGATATACCTCAAAATTTTAAGTTTTGACACACCTGTACTTAGAGGTTAGCAGTGTTACAAGTAGTGGATAAATGGTGTTAGACTGTATTATGTTAATTATCTTGTGGGTAAAATAAAATGCATTCCAGGAACAATAATTTTCTTGTATAAAAATAAAAAATGTAGGAACCATCAAATGTTAAGGTTCATAAAGTGCAACACACACAATGCGAATGTCATGTTTGTATAATATTAAATGATTTACACAAACTACAAAACAATTTATTCTGGTGTAAAATATAATCTTAGGCCTTGTTTAAGGCTGGACCATAGAAAAAGCCAGAGAATATGACTGAAAACTGTAACAGATCTCCAGTACCTCTACTTTGCAATAGCAATTCCTGACTGATACTGTTATTTGCTGTTGTAGACCTCAATCCACTCAGCAGTTGGTGCCAGTAATTCATGTTATCAATGTGAGATTTTGGATGTTCATGCTCTTTCAGCTATCACAAAAGACACTGCCAGAACCTCAAACCATCTTCAGAGTATAACGAAAACAAAACATTGAGTCAGCTCACTGAATTCATCAACCATGTTCTAAAAAAATTATCTCCATTCTTTAAATTAATTAAGCCAATTTTTTGGTGAATCAGCATTTAATTACTGTACTTTCTTATTCTAAAACTCAATTTTCATGGGTCCTCTCCTAATAATGGTGAACATTATCTTTAGTAACTGAACATCATAAATTTTTATCTGGCCAAAAAGTTCGGTAATTTGGTAACTATTGTAATTCAATGATGCTAGGAGTAATGTACAAAGCATAGTTTTTGATGGGAAGGAAGCCTCAGCTGGTCAGACACTGGGCGAGCCAGGTCAGAAACTGGACAAACCAGGTCAAACATTGGGCAAGTCAGGTTAGAAACTGGGCAAGCTACACCAGAAATTCAGCCCCTCAAATGGTCATCCCTGAGACCCAATTTCTGACCTGCACTTGCGGTCATGCCCGGAACAAACGGGCAATATAATAGACAATGAATATAATACAGTATTGGAGAAAAGTTATAACAATGAGCATCTCACCTTTTCTGCTTCTCTGAATGCTTTTTCATAATTTTTCTTAGCTTTCTCTAACTGCTGCAACGACTGACTCAACTGCTGTTGTACACGACTACCATCCGTTAAGTGCTGTTGATTACAAGGAAATGTTAGGAAGCTTGGTCAGTCAACCTTGTCAGAGATGAAAAGTAGTTACACAGTAGACATTGAAGTTATACATAAACCTGTATACTAAATGCTTACTGGTTATAAATACTGTAGCTAATTATGCTAAATATTTTAATGAAGGGAAAATCTGATTTGGAAACAAAGTAAAATTTAATACAGTAGTTATATTTTAAAATGTTCACATTTTAAAATCAAAGAATATATTACTGTGCTTTTAAAAATTAGTGCTGTACTATATTTGTACAATATCAAATTTGTATAGATCAATACAATACTTTTCATAGTTTAATATACTGCATTAAACCTGTACAAGCAGTACAGCAATAAGATTTTTTCTCTCTACTTCTGACTTTCAAGTACAGTACTGTACATTTAACTCTTAGAATCTCTACAGGGGGAATACATTCCACAACAATCTGCATGTATTCACATAGTGAAGATTTTTGCTAATGATCTTATGGAAAAAATAGAATGTGTTCTGACCAAGAATATTATATCCAAAATATAAGTACTATACTCTATAGTAGTGTCCAATATCAAGGTGCTCTTGGTGGTTATCCATTGAGTGGAGAGCGGGAGAGAATGAGAGAGAATTGTTAGGCTCATTTAAACCCACTGAGCCCACTGTAATGTAATACAGTGTATAAAAAATTTCTGGCTCCTTTTCAACTGATATATCATCATACAAGCATGCTTGAGTATTGACGTCATAAATTACTGGAATGAGCCTGTCAGTTTATATCCCACCTACATTTGTTTCACATAGATTATGGCTGCATAAATTTGGGATTTGCTTGTTGAATATAATAGTGTTTACTCCCTCTGATATATTTACTCTTACTGTTATCCAAGCACCAGCTACAATAATCCCAAATAACAATGTAATGGACTTGGGTAAATTTACCAGAGTAAATTGAACTCATACCTTTTTTCTATCTTCTTTAAACTCTTTGATGAGCGTGGTAATTTCTGCTAGAACAACGGCAGAGAGTGTTTCCGAGATGACTTCGTGTTGACCTGCCAAGTCGCCCGTTTCACTCACTGCATCCCGAAATGCTTTTACACTGGTGAACCTAAAAAATAAATATAGCTAAGAAACCTATAGATCCATCAACATTTAATTAGAATATATTGCAATACTGTATTCAGACCCTCTTCCTCCGAAGATTACAAATAGCTTGCTGGCACGCACTCTGCTTGCTTGCTGGCACATACACGCTGCTTGCTTGCTTGCTGGCACATACACGCTGCTTGCTTGCTTGCACATACACGCTGCTTGCTTTCTTGCTTGCACATACACGCTGCTTGCTTTCTTGCTTGCACATACACGCTGCTTGCTTTCTTGCTTGCTGGCACATGCACACTGCTTGCTTGCTGGCACATGCACGCTGCTTGCTTGCTGGCACATGCACGCTGCTTGCTTGCCTGCTGGCACGCACACTGCTTGCTTGCTTGCTGGCGCGCACACTGCTTGCTTGCTGGCACGCACACTGCTTGCTTGCTAGCTGGCACACAGTGGCCGACTGGTTGGCTCTGATTATTCCACCAGCCTGCACTGTAAATGACAGTAAGTAGCACTTGCTTTGCATGGACATGTTGCTAGTGATTGTGCTATTGTGTTCTAATGCTTAAATAGGATTCCAGTCTTAAGGGTAATACCCCAACTGATTCAGGGAGACTTTCTTCCAAGCACCAGCTACATGAGCAGTAAGTAGGTTATCTTGAGGTTATCTCGAGATGATTTCGGGGCTTTCAGTGTCCCCGCGGCCCGGTCCTCGACCAGGCCTCCACCCCTAGGAAGCAGCCAGCTGACTAACACCCAGGTACCTATTTTACTCCTAGATAACAGGGGCATTGGGTGAAAGAAACTCTGCCCATTGTTTCTCGCAGGCGCCTGGGATCGAACCCAGGACCACAGGATCACAAGTCCAGCGTGCTGTCCACTCGGCCGACCGGTTAGTTAACTTAGTTAACTAAGTACTCTTAGTTAAGATTACAACACGTGCAGAAACAATTTCCACCAACACTTACTGATGAAAATGTTGCTGTTCAACACAAGGAAGTATGAGAGTTCTGCTTAAACATTCACAGACTTTGTATACGAAGCAGCTCATGGCTAGGGTTTGACACAAATCTTACCCTGATTCACCTTGCCCGCAAGACATGCCTAATCTTCGGATATACGCAGTAGCTGAAGAACTCGCTCCACTGCTCCATTACTTACATTTCGTTTAAGGAAGGTGATAAATTTATAAATATGAACAGTTATTGAGATGAGCAGGTTAAGCGAACAGTGTGATAACTCTAGCACTTCTTAACTTGTGAACTACCTAAACTGTGTCGATAGGATAGTTATTCTACACTAATGGAAATCTTAATATTGGCTATTAGTAGTGAAGGAATAATAGAGCATCAGTGGCCAGCACCATCATCATCCAGGAATTGCTACTGTCATTCAAGAAGGAAGTAATTGGGCACCAATATCCACCAGGTCATGCTATCACTCAGGGAAGGATAATTGGGTACCAGTATCCTTCAGAACATGCTGTTACATAAGCAGGATCTTAATACTTACTGTTGCTCCTCACACTCTTTCTTCTTTGGCAGGTATGTCTTCACCAATCTTCTGCAAAGACAAGATACTCGCATTAAAACAGAATTCGAATTATCACAAAAGTAAAGGGATCCTGCAGGGTGTGCACCCGCCACGGCCAACGCCTGTAACGCCCGCCACGGCCAACGCCTGTAACGCCCGCCACGGCCAACGCCTGTAACGCCCGCCACGGCCAACGCCTGTAACGCCCGCCACGGCCAACGCCTGTAACACCCGCCACGGCCAACACCGGCAGCGACGTCGGACAGATGAAGACACAAATACTCCTACCAGACCATCAAACATAAGGCCTGGTCAGAGAACGGGCCATTGGGGCATTGACCCCGCGGATCCACTCGTTAATAGGAGTTTAAATTTACCTGGTGTGGCAGCCAGGCCGGGGTGGAGTCTTGAGAACCATATGTATTCTGCCATGGATGATTACGCAATACAATTAATTTCTGTGTATGTTGGATAATACTATTTAAGAACATTTAAATCACTGGTGCTGTTCCGTCATGAGTATTGGTCGGTACTCGCTTCCCCTTTCAGAGCAGGAGCGATCTCTGAATTAGAGGGAATACAGAGAACATATACGTCACGCATATACCTGGTTGATGGGGTTCTGGGAGGAGTTCTACTCCCCAAACCCGGCCCGAGGCCAGGCTTGACTTGTGAGAGTTTGGTCCACCAGGCTGTTGCTTGGCGCGGCCCGCAGGCCCACATACCCACCACAGCCCGGCTGATCCGGCACTCCTCTTAGAAAACAGTCCAGTTTTCTCTTGAAGATGTTCACGGCTGTTCCGGCAATATTTCTGATGCTCGCTGGGAGGACGTTGAACAACCGCGGACCTCTGATGTTTATACAGTGTTCTCTGATTGTGCCTATGGCACCTCTGCTCTTCACTGGTTCAATCTTGCATTTTCTTCCATATCGTTCACTCCAGTACGTTGTTATTTTACTGTGTAGATTTGGGACCTGGCCATCCAGTATTTTCCATGTGTCCCAAGATACCTAGAACAATTACGGGTGGAACCTTCAAAAATGGACTGTTATACCTTCCCCCCCCCCCCCAAAAAAAAAAAGAACACGGTGTGTACTATTCATGTGTAGTAAGCACAAACACGAAGGAAAAAAAAAAATTACGGGCTGCCCGTGCCACTCTTGGGCGGCTTAATCTTCATCCATCAACCAACAAAATTTTCCAGGACTAGTATAGCACATACATGTATCTTTAGGCTCCTAAATTATGCCTAAGATGGCGTGTATCAGGGCTAGGTTTAGGCTCGATATACGCCATCTTACGCAAATTAAAATCAGACCTAGTTTTAGTCGGGGGGGGGGGGGGCCACGCCTCTGTTTATATCTTGATCTGCCAGACATATGCCAGCAGGTACCCGCAAGCCCACATTTTTCACACATGACCGGAAAGAAAGGCAGTCCCGAAGATCAATGTCCAGTTCTCCAGTTCTCTGGACCGGGTCTTGTGATTAATGACACGGGCAACCAGACTGTTGGACGCTTCTGAAACCAATCCTACGTAGGAAGGGAAGAGAACTATCAGGAGAAAGCGCCAAGACATGACCACTATATGTTACCGTAGGAATTACAGCCAGGTTGATCACGTACCATATGGAAGCGTTTATCAAGTTCCCTCTTTGATTGCCGGACGGCAATTTCTAAGAGCGTTTCAACACATTCAATAATTGGTCCACCTTACTGTTTACTGACATCTTTGCATTGCAAGGAGTCCAACACAGACACACACACAGACACAAAGCGGCGTGGACGCGCACTAAACGTGCTAGGTGAAATATGATCATTTTGTTGTAGCACACTTATCGTGACATATGTCATGCCTCCAAAACACTGCCAATACAAAAAACACTTTCGTTTTTAGAGAAAACTGCCTGTGTCGTATTGAGCCGCTTCGGCCCGCCCTCAAGGGCACCCTCAGCCGCCCTCAAGGGCCGCCACACTAAAAACAATATTCACGGACAATAAATAGGACCGTGCCCTTGTCACTAGCCAAGATAAATGGGCAGCATTTCCTCAAAGTTCCCTACACAACACGCCATCACAAACTCCACAAAACCCTTGCCAGCTCCGTAACCCACCTGCGACGCAACACACAAATGGATACCTCGCTTCCACTAAATTTGGCACATAAATAGGAGCCGCCTCGTACGAACCAGTAGGCCTACCTTTAAGTTACCTTGAGGTGTTTCCGGGGCTTAGCGTCCCCGCGGCCCTCTCGTCGACCAGGCCTGATCAACCAGGCTGTTGGACGCGGCTGCTCACAGCTGACGTATGAATCACAGCCTGGTTAATCAGGTACCTTGATCAGGTTAATCAGATCAGGCCTTGTGCAATTTACTTTCTCAAATCGAAGCCTTTATAATTCGGCCGCTCCAAGCAAGAGGTGAACACCGTGCCCCCAGCAGCTGGGGTGTGAACACCGTGCCCCCAGCAGCTGGGGTGTGAACACCGTGCCCCCAGCAGCTGGGGTGTGAACACCGTGCCCCCAGCAGCTGGGGTGTGAACACCGTGCCCCCAGCAGCTGGGGTGTGAACACCGTGCCCCCAGCAGCTGGGGTGTGAACACCGTGCCCCCAGCAGCTGGGGTGTGAACACCGTGCCCCCAGCAGCTGGGGTGTGAACACCGTGCCCCCAGCAGCTGGGGTGTGAACACCGTGCCCCCAGCAGCTGGGGTGTGAACACCGTGCCCCCAGCAGCTGGGGTGTGAACACCGTGCCCCCAGCAGCTGGGGTGTGAACACCGTGCCCCCAGCAGCTGGGGTGTGAACACCGTGCCCCCAGCAGCTGGGGTGTGAACACCGTGCCCCCAGCAGCTGGGGTGAACACCGTGCCCCCAGCAGCTGGGGTGTGAACACCGTGCCCCCAGCAGCTGGGGTGTGAACACCGTGCCCCCAGCAGCTGGGGTGTGAACTCCGTGCCCCCAGCAGCTGGGGTGTGAACACCGTGCCCCCAGCAGCTGGGGTGTGAACACCGTGCCCCCAGCAGCTGGGGTGTGAACACCGTGCCCCCAGCAGCTGGGGTGTGAACACCGTGCCCCCAGCAGCTGGGGTGTGAACACCGTGCCCCCAGCAGCTGGGGTGTGAACACCGTGCCCCCAGCAGCTGGGGTGTGAACACCGTGCCCCCAGCAGCTGGGGTGTGAACACCGTGCCCCCAGCAGCTGGGGTGTGAACACCGTGCCCCCAGCAGCTGGGGTGTGAACACCGTGCCCCCAGCAGCTGGGGTGTGAACACCGTGCCCCCAGCAGCTGGGGTGTGAACACCGTGCCCCCAGCAGCTGGGGGTGTGAAGACCGTGCCTCCCAGCAGCTGGGGGTGTGAAGACCGTGCCTCCCAGCAGCTGGGGTGTGAAGACCGTGCCTCCCAGCAGCTGGGGTGTGAAGACCGTGCCTCCCAGCAGCTGGGGTGTGAAGACCGTGCCTCCCAGCAGCTGGGGTGTGAAGACCGTGCCTCCCAGCAGCTGGGGGTGTGAAGACCGTGCCTCCCAGCAGCTGGGGTGTGAAGACCGTGCCTCCCAGCAGCTGGGGGTGTGAAGACCGTGCCTCCCAGCAGCTGGGGGTGTGAAGACCGTGCCCCCCAGCAGCTGGGATGGGAAGACCGTGCCTCCCAGCAGCTGGGGGTGTGAAGACCGTGCCTCCCAGCAGCTGGGGGTGTGAAGACCGTGCCTCCCAGCAGCTGGGGGTGTGAAGACCGTGCCTCCCAGCAGCTGGGGGTGTGAAGACCGTGCCTCCCAGCAGCTGGGGGTGTGAAGACCGTGCCCCCCAGCAGCTGGGGTGTGAAGACCGTGCCCCCCAGCAGCTGGGGTGTGAAGACCGTGCCCCCAGCAGCTGGGGGTGTGAAGACCGTGCCCCCCAGCAGCTGGGGTGTGAAGACCGTGCCCCCCAGCAGCTGGGGTGTGAAGACCGTGCCCCCCAGCAGCTGGGGTGTGAAGACCGTGCCCCCCAGCAGCTGGGGTGTGAAGACCGTGCCCCCCAGCAGCTGGGGTGTGAACACCGTGCCCCCCAGCAGCTGGGGTGTGAACACCGTGCCCCCCAGCAGCTGGGGTGTGAACACCGTGCCCCCCAGCAGCTGGGGTGTGAACACCGTGCCCCCCAGCAGCTGGGGTGTGAACACCGTGCCCCCCAGCAGCTGGGGTGTGAACACCGTGCCCCCCAGCAGCTGGGGTGTGAACACCGTGCCCCCCAGCAGCAAGTGTGGAGACGCCTATGTTGTGTGTACCCGTCCTCAGTGGCGCCAACAGCCTGTCCCCGCGAGTCAGGGGAGTATTGGTGTGTGTAGCCCCGGAGTACAGCCGGGAACACTTTGTTTACACTTTACCCTTCACACCACGTGGTCTTCTGTGAGGCTCTGTAGTCCGTATGAAGCCCGAGGCCCTCCCTGCCACCTTCCCTCCCTCCCTCCCTTTCTCCATCTCCCCCACCATTCCGTCTCCTCCTTTCTCATTATCCACCCCTCCACCACTCCCTCACCTCGTCAATGCACCACTAGAGTATATACGCACATATGCATGGAGAGAAGTTTACCCCTGAACTTTACTTTTTGGTGACCCCGTTAAGCAGTGACCTGTGTTGTCAGTACAGTATCTTATGACGGTGACCTAGTATTGGCCATACTTTCACTCGCATGCCGCCTCAACCGGAGGTTCCCAAGGATTCTCCAAGCCTAGTCGCAGACCAGGAAGCTGAGGCGCTTCTCTTTACCTCTAGTTGGTGTCGAGATTACTTTAAAGTGAATAAACTGCCAGAGTCAGGCTAATACATGTAAAAAGCACAAGAGAATGTACTCGCCTAGTTTTGTTTACGGAGGTTAAAATTTAATATAATTAATCGGTTTCAAGTATTAAAAGCCACAATATAGGAGAAATCTCCTGAGAACAAGAGATGCTTTTTCCCCTACATGATTGTTAACATATGGAACTACCTACCCGCCAAACACGTAATTGCCAAAACTCTGCAAACTGTTATAGTACAGATGGAAATGATCATCAAGACATATGGA